ACGAGTCTCCGCTCTCCATCGTTCCGCTTCCCCAGACTTTTCCAGCTGCTGCCGGACCCAAACGAATGACTCTAATGATTTTTGCTGACGCGCGCGTCCACACACGGCGCGATTTATGCGTGTTATTGCCGACGCTGACAGCTCTGGACAAATCTCGGCGGGCAGCGTTGGATAAACACCGCGCGGTTGTGTATCTTCCCAGAAACATTATGTTTTAGCCCCAGAAAGCCGCACCGGCGAATGGATGAATGTGGATCGGGAGGATAAATATTTGGAAGTCTGGGCCTGATGGATGAGTCCGAGGCCCTTCTCTTGGCTGGCCTTTATCCCGTCTCCCACCTCAGGACACGGGAAACCAGTTAAAAGAGACATTTTCCAAACATCCCTCGGCGTTGCAAAATCTATTAGGCTGACGTCAGTGTAAATTACGCGTGCACGAGAGACGCTGAGCAGCCTCCCGGAGAGCACTTCTGCCTAAGTCCGCAGGTGTCAACTTCTCAATTGGGCGGATTCCTCATTTCAGAGGCAAACTCCCACGTGCTGCGATCACAGGGATCAGCGAAAAGCACCCAGCGCTGATATTTAACAGCTGCCAAAAGTTATGTAGCGTCTTTATCTCCGACTTCTGGGGCTCGTTACGCCGTCAACATTTGGTTTGACCGTGGGGGGAACGTCCACTTTGGCAAAACAAAGAGCTGGTCCTGTCCAAATCTGAGCCTCAACACAGTCCGTAAGATATTTCTCTTTTGGTGGAGCGGTTTATACAGGGGGAAATGCTCCAGCTGTGACCCGTTTCTCCGTTTTGAAATGTAAAGCCCCCCCACACCGGCACCACCCACTCAGGCGTGGGCGTGGTCAGGATTTACTGCCTTGGCCCAGAGGGTCAGATGTGGACGTTAAAGTCCAGAAAACCGAACGGAACTGCTTTGTGACCCCAATTTGGACAGAACGTCTCGAAAAGAAGCGGCCTTGGGTCATCTAAGAGGGGCCAAGGGGGGGGGGGGGTAAAGCAGAGGCCTTCAGAGCCTGGATAAAAAATCAGCGTCCATTTTCTGTCTGGGTCTGATCCAGAGACCCCCATCAGGTCCAGACCCCTCACACAGATCCCATGATTGCTCCGGATGAGGTCTTTCTATAGATCCTGCCAGGGACTGAGCCCTGACCTCTGACCCCAACCCGGCCACGTGTAGGAGATCCCTGAACGCCATTAGCAGCTCACACAGCGCCCCCTGCAGCAGCCTGGGGGGAAATGCTCCGTGAGCTCATAAAAAAACTCCGGAGAAGTTTTTCTAAAAGTTTTCCCTGTCAGTTAAAGAGCTAATCCTTTAAACTGGCCTCTTAAACAACGGTCAGACAAACGACCAATCAGTTTCCACGGCAGGGGTTATCCACCCCCCTACACACGCTCTGTAAGAGTTATGGCTCCTCAATAGGTCAGTCTGACTCATCATCTGATTAACCACATCAGAGATGGAATTATACCCAAAAAAAGTCATGAACAACGGAACACAGAAAACACACAGTGAGACATTTCTCATTTTACAGAGTCATGGAAACTCTATCCTGAATCCCATGTCTCAGAAACGTGTTCCAGCCTGGTCGGTTGGTTTCTTCTGAATCTGTGACCCAAAAGGGTATAAAAAAAAGCCCTTTAGGGAGAACCTGAAGTAAAGGTGGACAGAGGTTCGGCAAAACCTCATTGGCTTCACATCTGGAATATGAGAGTCCTCTGTAAAGCCCCGGAAAATTGTTGGGATGCTGATATCTGAGTGATATTCACGTGTAAAAACAGGCCGTCTCACGTTTTCTGACCCTCACACACATGTAGAAAAGGGCTCAGAGCTATGGCGTCCTCCATTAAACCCTAAAACCTGACTTAAGTAGATCCTTTGGCTTCATAGTGGAGGATCTGGAGAATGGCTTTGACCAGTTTATGCTCCAATCAGTTGTTTTGGCCTCCTTTTGCTGATAGGTTCCTGCTTTAGGGTTAAAAAGGCTAACGATGGCTCATATTTAAAGGTAAGAATGAACCCCATCGGTCAATTGGAAAGTTGTTTTGGCTCGACTGACCGGCTGACCGCAACTTTTACTACATGGGAACATTTCAGGGGCACAGGTCAGCTGGTCAGCTGGTCAGCATTCCTCTCCCAGAGGAGCAGCAGCCTCCGATCCAGATGTTCCCAGACTGATGTTGGAGGAAGAGAGGAACCTGTCCTCGTGTTTATGTGCTGAAACCCTCCCAACATGAGCGTTTTCCTCATGAAATAGTAACACAACTCCAACATCTCATTAGCTTTTTATGTTCTAATTTGAAGAAAAATCCTTTAATTTGTTTTTTAAATGGACATCATGTCTCCAACATCGTTTTAAATGTGTTTTGCAGGTTATTTCTGTTTTTCCCTCATTCCTGCTAACTTGTTTTTTATTTTTTATTTTTTGTAAGTGGCGTTTAAAGTCATCTAACAGCTTTGTTGAGCTTCTTTGCTGGAATCCGTAACGTATCTGCCTCAATGAAAGGAATGGAAACATTTAGATTTAGATTTTTCCCTTTAAGTGTATAATGGATAAAGTTAGAAGCTTTAGGCCGGACAGCAGCCGGCTGAGGAGAACAAAAAGTCTGTATTGTTTGTTTGTCCTGGCTCCATCTCAGAGCTGATGACCTAAATGCCAACAGTGTACTAACAAAATGCTTCTGGACGATGATAAACATCTATGACTGACCTTATCAGGGACTGGGAATGGTAAAAAAGGAAACTATTCCCCCCCAAAAAAAC